TCCACCCTTGGCAAGGCCAGTGATTCCGTCGGATGCTTCGAAGGTCTCTTAAAAGAACAACTAAATGCCTCAGAATCAACGACTCTCAGCCAGTCATTTCAGGGTGAAAAGCCTATAGGGGTTCAATGATGGTTAGGGTAGGATGTCCCACACCTGGATCCGGATGCAAAACGTGGCCGGAACCCGCAAAAGTGCCGGACTGAACATCTACACCTCGAAACCCTCAGCACATTGCTTCACCAATGTGCCCCCTTTATGTGGCACAGCCACTTGGCGTAGCCCACCCCACCTGCCGGATTGGAAAGGCTTCAACCCCAGTGGAACCAAAAGCTTGAATTCGTGATCTGGGCTCAGCGCCCAGCTGGCTGGGATAGAACTTGGCTCAGCACTCTTCACGTATCCTGTCGGAAGGGGTCAAGGAGAGTAATAATAGCTGATGTCCACCAGACCTACAGCCCCTGCCCATAGCATCGTTACCAGTAGCAGTTCTGGCCTTTGACGCAGCCAGGTTCCACTTAACCCTAGGGCTCCAGCCATATCCTCAGAAGGTGGTTAGACTACCGAGACCCACCCTAACCATCTTAGGAGGAAGTTGGAGCCCTTGGGCAGGGCTTTAACCGGCTTTGACCCACCCATTTCTTGTCCCAAGACGAGCCGAAGACGAGCCCTCCGGGTGGAGCCTTCTTGGTGCTCAGCCTTCCCAGTTCTTCGCCTGTAGTTGAATCACTTTACAACACTCCTATGTTGGACAATCTGGCCGTGGGTCATGGGCACAGGGAATATGCTGGTTGACTACCGAAAATAAACAGATTCCTTGTTTCGGATGTCAACATGCTTTAGTGGGGGAGGTGTTCACTCACATATCGATCCCAGACTCCATGCCTGTATGGTATGCCTCCATTGACCCCTGAAAAACATATTACCCAAAGGTATGTAACAAACATGAAGAATGCCAGAATTCATAGGCGGGGGGGCCGTTTTCGGCCGTTCGTCGCAGGTCTCGGAGGAGCTCTCGGACATCCTCAGCAGCGCGCGCGGCAGCGCTGCCGGTCAGCGCGCCGAGGGCGCGCACTCGGAAGGTGCACGTGAGCAGAGGAAGGGACTCGAGGCGCGCAGCACTGGACGGGCGCGGTGGGGAATAGCTGCGTCGCGCCGGGCGGTTTTTGTGGACCATCCCCATGCCATTTAGCTGCCCCAGACATGACCCGGAAATCCACCCCTGGCCTGTGCTGATTGGTAAACAGACCAGTCCCATGCATGGTCTGGGAGTGTTAAGGTGTTTTGGATTGTTTTGGCAGCTTCAAAGATGGTGGAACATCCTGCTTTGGAAAGCTTGCCATTCAAATTATCGACCAGGTCGTGATTGGCCATGCTGTTCCATAACAGGGACCATAGGGCCAAGCATGACCCTGAACTTGGAGTTGGTGTCCGTGAGACTAAGCAGCCTGCCGGTTCACGTGCTCTTTTTTTCGTGCGCGGTGGGAACTAACATGGACCAACTGTTTCTATTAAGGGCACACTTGGAAACAGACTATCTCAAGACAACAGAAATTTCTGGCAGAGTCAATGGTTACCGGTCTTTAGAGGATCACATTTTCTAGTGCGCATCCAGGTATGCTTCACATTGTCATCCTGGGTTTTCATTCTTTAAAGGTTGCTTGAAGGACTTCTCGAGAGTTTGAGCGCCCCCTTGTAAGGGAACAGCATCAACGATTGAAATGACAGAGGGGTACCACCAGCACATGTTGCCAGTCCAACACCCACACTGACTAGACTATATATTTATATATTAATATTGGGGCTGACATGCGAAATGCTTTTTAAGATCAGGGTGGCGGCTTGTACTGTATCTAGTCCGCCATCCATATCTTCCCTCACGTACATGAGGTGCCCCAAAATTCATACTGGAAACGAATTCTCAGCAGGGTTTCCAGGGGTAGATTGATCTTCTTGTGGGGTGACGCCACTCGCCACTGATCAGGTAGCTGGGTACCCAGTACCTGAGACCCGACGGTGGGACTTGGGACCATGACCTTGTAGTATATGTATATACAGCTGCTAGTACCAGAAGACCAGCCCAATTCGTTAAAATGTTGGAATTACCTACCTCAAACCACTGGAATTCATAGAACTAGAAGAGACTTGAAGAAGACAAACAGAGTGGTCTGCAATTTAAGGCCGTTTTGGCTAGCAGAAGGGTAACAATTCAGCTTTGTCGTCTTTTCATCCCCACATATCCAAACCATTGTTCAATGATGTTCAATGCACTTTTGGGGGATCTCACCTGGTTCCTGCTGCCTTTTTTGTTTTACAGAGGCTGCTTGCTCTGGCGTCAAAAGTCAGTACGAGGCCATGTGGCCAAGCCGGCCTTCCTTAGCATCACTCTTGGTGCGATACATATCGGAAGAAAACAGCCAGTGTTTCATCCCAAAAAACAAGTTTATTCCAGGACCCTCCTGTTGGGGTGCCCTGTCTGGAAGCCTATAGGTAGTGTGGGGTAGTCCAGCCAGGACACCCCGACAGGAGGGTCCAGGTTGTTTCACCATCTCAATGTGGTAACCGGTCCTTCCTCGCCTCTTTCCGAAAGCCGCCCGACTCGACGATGTGGTGCAGGTGCCGGAGGACTCCCGCGTGCCTTGGACGAGGATGGAGGGGAGGAGTCCGTGCCGAAAACCTCGGATTTCGCGCCGCAGCTCTTCCATGGATTCCATCCCTGCTGTACAGTCTACTTGGTCTTTCACTTCACCTCTTTAAGCTGAGAACGCCTTCCTCTGGCCCTGGCCTCCAGAGGCTTGTGAGGTCATTGACCTGTACATGGATGTCTTGGGCGGGTGGGGGGGCGGCAAACATCCTCAGCCTCGGTGTTAGGCCCTATAGGATTGGCCGAATCTCACAAGCTTCAGACGCTGGAAGAGGCTATTATAGGAGTCTCTGTGGCGAAGCTGGGAGTCTCTGTGACCTTCAAATCAAGGTATGAAGTGAATCGAACATCTTGGGATCTCAAGTTCGGTCCTGAAGGTGGCTCGACCAGGTCCATTGGTTTACTGTTTTCGACGGGGTCTTCAAGGTCAAGGTCGAGGGACATTGGATGGAAAAAGCATGAGAAAAACTGAGGAGACCGGTCATGACTAGCTTCAAAAAAAGAACGCAAGTTGGGTTGGGTGGTCTATTTAATATACACACCCAAGAACTTGGTTTTGCCTAGGGTGATGTCTTTCCCTATGGCTGAATTCCATGTATTCTGGGGAAAATGTGTTTAAATGTCCCAGACACGACTAATGGGACTGCCATATGACTGCCGCCCCATATATACCCCCCAAAACCCACCACCCCGAACGGCGAAACTAACCGTCCGTCCTGGCAGTCCCATGGAACGTTTGTGTTTGGGTGTTGTACAGCAAATTCGAGAGGTTCGACCTGTTAGGGTTGGGGTCGAACGGTTTCGCGCCTGCGGACCGCTCTTCACGGAACGGCAGGCGTCGTGTTTTTTGTTTTTTATATTCTTCCCACTGAAACTCACCTGGGGGGCAACATAGTTACCAGGGTTTTTGAAGTAGATCAGATCTCAACTCCATATATGCTGCATATGTTTGGAATCATAGCATTCCCAGCTTTCTCATTCAAACGATGTGACAATTCAATGTGGCATGTGGTGCTGGACGACTCCCAGTGACACCAAGCTGTTTGATGAAGCTACAAAGACCTGACTGCAGTGATTTCACGTGACCTGAGCGCGCGACTGAATTTCAGCGATTTCGTGGTGGCTAGAAGGTGGTGAAGAGTCGTCGATTGCCACCCCGGAATATGTTCCTTTTAGGTTGGGAGACCATCGCTCTTGGGTTGGAGGCCATCGCTTCTAGGTTGCAGGCCATTGCTATTAGGTTTAGTATATTGTTATTGTTACGTGTAGATCATATAGATCTATGGAATCATGTTCCCACACTGGAGTGGAGCCAGATGTTTGAGGGTCAATGGGGGGCGGTCCATTGACTCCAGTCACACTCCATCCATCTGGGGCACCCTCCACAGCTGGAGGTGTCCTCCACCTCAGGGTCGACGCTGGGGCTGGTGGGTTCGAAGGTGTCCTTAGCTGTCCTGGTGCGGTCGAAGGTTCACGCGCCGGTGCCCTTTGTTCGAGGTGAGCCAAAAGAACAAGAAGACTCACGCCGCTTGGACCGCGCGTTCTTCAAAGGTGTGTGGCTGAACTGGATTTCCTGATTTGGGGTGAAGAAATAGCCTGTAAAAGGTCAGTGGATGGAACTCCAAAAAGGTCACGTTGAAGAAGCTGTTTTCTTTCTGATGCTTTTCGAAACATGGATGACTGGATGATCCGCTGCAGTTTTCGACCTCGAGCATCTGCGACCTTCCCATTCCATGAGGGTACGATGCATCACCCATTCCGTGAGTTTGACAGCCCGTTCCATGCAACACGACGGTTCTCGGCCATCCGGAAGGCCAGTACCCCCAGGTCAAGGTCCTTAGACCCTCCCTCATGCAGCAACAGACCACCCCAGTCAGCTTTTGTGTGCTGAGCATTTGGAGCTCCTGTTTTGAGCTTTTTGGGTGCAACATTGCGATGTGACACTGAACATGTGTGAACAGGGTTGGAGGGAACCAGTCCGGAGAAAGGACAACTGAAACAGCACTCGACTGGGGGGCAACAAAAACAACAAAACAGGGAGCAATGCAGGGGGCACGAGGGGCACTGCATAAAACACAAGGAGGAACTAAGTCCACTGTCCCTGTTGTTCAATACCCAAAGAGTCCAAGTTGTAAGTGTTTGCATACCCCCCATCCAAACACAACAGGCCAAATAAAGAGATCATGCATGTGTTTAGCCTGCCATCATGTGCAATCCTTTTTCCACCCCGTCCTTCTCTGACTTCCGGCTTCCGCCGGTACGCGCACGCGCGTGACCTGCAGTCGTCGATTGCCGAACTCATGAGGCCACCACCTTCTTGGGGCTTTTGAGTACCCCCAAGCGGACGCCGGCCGTGAGCATGGAAAACCTAGAGGCACAAACGGCCCCTTGGGGGTGGCATTCAGAGTCGAGTCGTGTTTTGGAAGGGGAGATTCGTGATCAGAGGCCAGAGGAGGCTTTTTGGGATGCGGAGAATGCGGGGAGGAGGGGGGTTGATTGAATTGATGAACGACATAAATGTTGGATGATGGATGCTGTTGAAATGAGCCCAAGGCTCAGTTGGGTTTCTCCAGGTGTTTTCAGCATTTCAGGGCAACCTCCTTTGACCCCAGCAAATCAAACAATTCCCCAATCCTGGCTCAAGATGGAACTGAAAACCACTAGGCTATAAGCTTGTAGAATGTGTTTCTCTTCCGTGTAGGAATGGCGTGTGGGAATTCATTTGCCGACCATCATCATGTGTCATTTGTCCACCATCTCGACCTCCAGACCTCCATCCAAAACGAGGGTTATATTGACATGCCCGTTAGGGCTCCAGTCGTGAGGTGGGTGCCAGGTTCGGTGGGACTGAGGTGGGTGCCAGGTTCGGGTCCAGTCATACGGAACCTGAGGAGGTACGACAGGAGCCCTGGGGATGGCATAAATGGGCCAAACGCTTAGATGCTTTCACCGGTCCCCGAACTGTGTGGATGAGAAAAGCCGAGGAAACGACCTACCTGCACCACGGTGCTGATTGACCAGAGGTAGCTATTCAGAAGTATATAATAAATTCATATAAATTCAATGTTTGTGGCATCAGTCATCAAATATGCTGCGCAGGTGCAGGTCTTCAAGTACTTTGAATCACAGGTTGTGTAGGGCAAAATGTCTTCACGTTCTATGAAGACAGGCATCCCTTCAACACTTCTTAGACTTGGCTTTCGCGGAAACTGCTACAGCTTGCTTGGCGGAATGTTTGTCTCGCCCATCACTCCTGCATCAATATCTGACAGATCCAGGCAAATCATAGCATAATGTAGACTGTTGAATACTGTTGATTACTAATATCTATCAGATACCGTGGTTCCAGAGTAGATGGCACAATCCTCAAAGGTGGTTTATATGGACCCCTATATAAAAGACATCTTACTTGGAGTTTGTGCCATCTACTCTGAAACCACTGTATATGTGTCCATTAACAACAAATAGTAGAATTAAGATTGTAGCTATATTTAATAAAGTATATATTAAGAGGCTTTACTATCCAAATGACACGTTTTATGAATCAAGCGTCTACTCGTACCACTTTTCCATGGAATTTAGGGCTCCCCAGCAATGCTTCGTCTAACGGATACGTCTCCCCATTGGCACGTTCGTTTCTGTGACCTGCATTAGTTGTAGCAACAAAATGCACAGAAAATCATACCAGGAGCATCCTGTCTGGGTGTCCTGGCTGGAGATCCCAGATAGTAGTGTAGGGTAGTCCAGCCAGGACCAGACAGGATGCTCCTGGTACAAATGCCTTGGCCAAAAGAAATCTATTCTCTGGTTCGTACATACACACCTCCAAGACCATCCAGAAAGGAGGTACCCTGACATCCTTTGTCAGAACTTGTTGCCCAAGTTGTTTGTTGAATTAGTTATACCGATATGTAGCTTTGTGGTTGCGTGTGTTTTGTTCACTGTTCCTCTTTGGTATACACCCTCAGCGAGGGGTTGGGAAGAGCGCGACGACTTTGTTGGACCAAGTTGACCAGCAAAGATCATCCATCCGTCCGCCCGTCCGTCGAATTAGTTACTATACACCTGCACTTCAACTTTCACTCCCTCCACCCACCGCTTTTCCCACTCGCTTGACCGGCGCTCATTCCCACCTCCGCACCTCCCACCGCGCCGTGTTCGCTCACGCCTGTCGGCTTGTGTTCGGATCCGGGCCGAGGCAAGGGATCTTCTGTCCGGTAGTGGATCACACCTCCTCACCGGCAGCTCCCACTCCCACGCGCGCGATGCGCGCGACGCCGGCCCCAGCGGTGGCGCCTCGGGCGCCGCGTCGGGCGCCGCCAACGGTGCCGCGCGCACCACGACGCTTCAGGCGGAGAGGGATGGGGTTGGAGGTGAGTGATGGGGTGGAGACCAAGTGGAAACCAAGTGATCCTAGAGCCCTCAAAAATACTGGAGGCGAATGATTTACCAGCTATTATAAAGACTACTGTATGTTGTTTGTTTTGTGTGTTTTTTGGGGGGAATATGACAGGTCCCATGCTAATCCAACTTGGCTAGCAGCAGAATGGGTGAAGAGGAACAATCTGAACTAGGGTGGCACACTGGCTGTCCTCCCCCAAGATTATCCTATGAGGGCGTGTCCCAGTACCAGCAACAGTCTGTAACAAAATGTCACTGTGTTTGAGAAAGGCCTGCAACCTAACCATCATCATCCACTGTTGCTGGTAATGGGATATCGGTGTGTATTCAAATAGGCAGTCCCAAAGACTCCCTGGAAGAAGGGATATAGATCAGTCTACCGGTTGGGTGGTTCCCCTACTAAATGTACAAACAAATGATAAGATCCCAGACACTGCATGGGACTGGCATATTTACCGATCAGTTGGGGTGGTTGAAAACGGGTCAATGTAGGTAAATATGCCAGTCTCATGGAGTGCCTGGGAATGATAAGATAGCACATATGCCACGATATCAGAATCGCCCACCAAGATGACCAGCCCTGCATTGTATGTTCATGCATGTTCAAGTATGTACCCTGGGATTGAAACCACCATTATATACAGTATATATAACACTCGTCTTACTAATTATACACTACAAAACCACTACAAAACCCAATCAACCATATATGGGAGCCGTTCGAAACCCCCGTATAGAGACAGGCTTTAGAGAGGACATGTCATAAAGATTGATCAGTTTTTGGGCTGTTTTTACCTGGTAGGCGCAAGAAGGCGCAAGGGCGAGCGCAAGGTTTATATATATATTATCTGTATCTAGTACTAGTACTATCACTACTACTACTACCACCACCACCACCACTACTATGACTAGTACTACTACTACTACTACTGCTGCTGCTGCTGCTACTGCTACTAGTACTAGTAGTACTACTACTACGACGACGACTACGACGACTACTACGACGACCAACATGGGTCTCATTGGGGGTAATGACTTGGGAGGTCCAAAAAGTAGAGAAAACGATAGGTTTTGCGTTAAGGTGAGGTTTGTACCACTGGGTTGCACTACTGTACCACCACCACTACTACTGCCACTACTACCACTACAACAACGACTACTACCACCACTACCACTACTAGTACTAGTACTAGTGCTAGTACTACTGCTACTACTACTACTACTACTACTGCTATTAGTACTCCTACTACTACTACTACTACTACTCATAGTAGTAGCAGTAGTAGTAGTAGCAGCAGCAGCAGCAGTAGTAGTAGTAGTAGTACGACCACTACTACAACAACTACCACAACTACTACTAGTACTACTACTGATACTATTACTACTTCTACTGCTGCTACTACGACGACGACGACGACTGCTACTACTACTAGTATTACAAGTAGTTCCCGGGCAAGCCGGCGGCGGAAGTTTCCAAAAGAATAAACCTATAGGAAGTGGGCATGTGGCAGGCTCATTCGCCGAGCTGCGATGTTCTTTGACAAAACAAGTTGGAACCGACCAATGGAGCGAAAGCGAAGCAACCACCGTCAACTGCCTCGCACTTTGCAAAATACAGAACAGATATGACTCAGCCGCGTGCTGAAGTTGTACTACAAAGTCGCCAGTTCTCAGCTTCCAGCTCCACAGATTGCTCTTCGTACTAAAGTTGTACTAGAAAGTCGCCAGTTCTCATCTTCCAGCTCCACAGATACTCCGCGTACTAAAGTTGTACTACAAAGTCGCCAGTTCTCATCTTCCAGCTCCCCAGATACTCCGCATACTAATGTTGTACTACAATGTTGCCAGTTCTCAGCTTCCAGCTCCACAGGTTGCTCCGCGTACTAAAGTTGTACTACAAAGTCGCCAGTCCTCAGCTTCCAGCTCCCCAGATGCTCCGCGTACTAACGTTGCACTACAAAGTCGCCAGTTCTCAGCTTCCAGCTCCACAGATTGCTCCGCGTACTAAAGTAGTACTACAAAGTCGCCAGTTCTCATCTTCCAGCTCCCCAGATACTCCGCATACTAAAGTTCTACTACAAAGTCGCCAGTTCCCAGCTTCCAGCTCCACAGATTGCTCCGCGTACTAAAGTTGCGTACTAAAGTTGTACTACAAAGTCGCCAGTTCTCAGCTTCCAGCTCCCCAGGTCGCTCCGCGTACTAAAGTTGTACTACAAAGTCGCCAGTTCTCAGCTTC